AGATGCCACTTGTTAATACTCACTAGACAGTCAATGTATGTTCCGTTTATGTCATTCTTAGTAAGAGCTCTTGTGCTGTGAGTTAGTAATTATCATTTGGGATGCAGAAGAAGGAAAACATGGGTAGATAAACTGAGAACCAGAATTGTCATTCCTGCAAGGTAAATAGCAAAGTTTCTTGGTGCTTTAGGATTAGTGGGAGTACACACTTCTAACAGCTTGAGCCTCTTCAAAAAAACTTATTCTGAGTGCGCAAACCTTTTTATTTGTGCTGGATCCAAACAGATAAATTAACAATAATCTTAGTATTATCATCTACTTCTCATGCCTCCCATCATAAACTTAGGGGAAACTTATTGTGAAGATCCTTGCCCAGTGCTGATACAATTGGCAGGTGAATATCCACACAGTGATGAAGTAAACCATATCCAGAACTTAAACTCCTATGCAAAACTGGGATGACAGTACATCTCCTTGCTCATGTAAAGCAAGGTTGATTCTGCAGAAGATGCAAGAGCTATTTAAATACTAATGCTATTAAATTCCCCACTCTCTGCTATGGAGACAGAAAACCAGTTTTGTGATGTCTAAATATTTTCAGCCACAACCCTGTTCTTGTGGACTATCCACCACAGTAGTTATGACTACCTCTCTTTCATGTTTTTGGTTTTTTTTAATACGGGACGACAAACTGGCACTTGCTGAAATAGCTACTTATTTTTGCCACACATTGATAAATATGAAAATGCTTTGAATGATCAAGGCCAGCTCCTCTTGGCTGCACACAAAGTTTGCATGAGTTTCATCAGCTGCTCTTACCAGCAAAAAGAACAGATTCTGGGATACAGCATTATGTAGGTAAATGACACCACAAAGTTGGCAAACCAAATCATTACTGATAAAGTCTCGGAATAGACTGATTTTAACTAAAATCATATCAAAGCTGCATATTTCTGATGGCAAGGAGTACAGCTTTGCTCTGAAATACATCTCACTGACACTGAAATCAACTTCCTTTGTTCCTAAGATGCTCCTAAAAAATGACTGTGTGGAAAAGTTAAGATCTTTTGAATTTCTAAGTCATGTAGGGCAATTGACCTCTTAAGAATACACTCACTATTTCCTTTCTGGCTACTTCACTCTCCCTCATAGTTTTATCATTTTCTTCTCTTGGATCATTATCGTAGAGCCTACTTTCTCAAAGACCAAAGACAATCTGAGAAGAATGTGTTTCAGCTGTGCATAAAAATTTTCATATATTAAACTAATGAGTTAACACATACTCCTACAGAAAAAAAGAGAGCTATCCTACCATTATTCAGGGGAAAATGACTGTAGTCCTAAATGCAACCTTCAATACTTCATGCATATATGTTTTCATTTGAAGAGTATCTATAGAAGAATTACGAGTGTTCCTTGAGGTGCATAAAGTGTGTCTCTGTGTGAAAGGGTGGTTAATGGAATTAACAAACCACTCCCACCTTGCTCCAGAACTGTTTTACTAATCTAAATTTACAATTTATAACCAGCACTAACATAATATTTCTAACAAGATTTCTTAAAACTAATTACCACAGGAGGCAACCACTTTTTTTCTCTACACTGGAATATCTGTCTCATGGTACAAATATTATAGGAATGAAATGTTCTGGCAATGTCTTTCTTGTGCATATTACTTTCATGAATTAAGGACCTGCTACAAAATCAATTTCTGGTCTTGAGATGAGATGCATGCATACATCTACATGAAAAGTATGTACAAAAGCACATAAAAGACCCAACACAAAACAATTAAATTTATTTCTGCTGTTGACATGCAAATCCTAGCAAACCAAGTACATTTTTTAGAAATTTGTTACTGAGTGATTTTCTCATTCTCTAAGTCTTCTTCTATAACAAGCACCCTTTACCACATCATATATTTCCTTTGTAATGGCAGAATGTGGAAATCAAAAAGACCATCTCTCATGGTACTATAAACTGAAAGATGATACATAAATGTATAGGCACATCATGGAAATTTTCCTTAATTTGTAATAGTCATTAATTTCTCTTTATTCTTGAGACAATCTCTTTGCTGTTCATCAAAGCCAATGTTTCCTGATATGCTCACCAGGCCCTACGAACATGAAATCATTTGGCTTGGAAGACCTCTCCTTCAGGCACACACTGTTACAGGTAAGTGAGGAACAAGGCTGAAATCTGACAATGCTTTTTTGCTAGTTTGAAAAGCTTGTTGCTTACAGGACAAATATTCTGATGAGAACGGAAGTCTAGAGAAAGTTGAAACAATGACACTTTCTCAGAAATGTGCTGCAGTTCCTATATTTACTGTCTTTATCGGTTCCAGAAGTATTTTAAAACCAGCAAGTACTGAAAACGAAGTGACATTGCTTTAACTGGTGTAGAGCAATGACAGCAATGCAGGTGGTAGTACATCCAGTCATGCAGTCTCTGAAAGCTTCTTCTATTGAAGTAGAATATCATGTAATAGAAGACATATCTATCTTCTAGAAGAGTTTTCAGGAAGGAAACCCGTGATGGTATCTAGGTAAGGCTACCTGTTGAGTGCTCTCACTTTGAGCACCTAAGTACCTATGACAAAAATCTAGGGAAGGTAGGTTTCATGACACTTCGTTTCAGACTGATACAGATGCTGTGGAACTGTAGTGGTGATTGGTTCCACATAATCCTTCCTAAGCTTGGTATGGTGGCTGAGACTAGTTAGGGTACAGGTTATCACTTCTGCCGTAAGTATTCCTCATCCATATGCCTGCAGTGGTGTTCTACCTAAGATGTAGTTACATGAATTAGCTAAATCAATACACTGGTTTTCCTCTTAAGTTATTTTGAGCTTACTTTTAACGGACTATCAGAAAACATGAAAATACAACTTGCATAAATATAATTCAACAATCCATCGAGTTAAATCAGATTTTAAAAGGGAAGCTATTATTTTTGCATATTTCATCAAATTAACTTCCTTCACATTTCATGTTTAAAGAGGAGAGAGATAGTTGTGATGCAAAATAACTGAATTAAGGTGCACGGAAGAAGATTCTGTTCTCTCTAGAAGCAATATTCCAGTAAGCTGATTTGCCTTCTATTTCTCCTCTCTCCTTTTTCTACTCAAATCAGCTAGGAGAGCCTTTCAGATGTTAAAGCTACCCCCTACCTTTATTGCAAGGATACTCCATCTTGCTGTTTACTAGTTGCTATTCACAATACATATGTACAAAACAATACTTTTTGATACCCAATATATATTTGTCTGCATTGGCATTTTCCAATAGTCTCTTGTTTAACACAAATAACATGTACTGCAGCTTGAGAAATGCAATCATTTGAGGTGTGAGAAGTGGCCTGACTGCCAACACAACCTCAAAACCCCATTACCTGAACAAGACAGGACAGGTACCCAAAACAAGTAAAGGAAGAGTTTTTTCCCCAACACTTTATATAGCTCTGACTTTGAACAATTAAAACCTTCCTCCACACTTATATTCTGACACAACTGAGACTAATGAGTAACCCAGCCTTTGATGCTTCCTAGGATCTCAAGCACTTAAACACCAGCTAAGTAAGAAAAAGCTGAAAATTCAGAACAGTTTTCCTAAGTATGCGACAGATTCCTGTGACTACTAATCTTGCAGGAAGTTCCTAAAAGTAAAATTATTTCTTATCTCTGAACAATCCATTTTTCTTTGCTCGCTGAACTCAGTTTAATATGATGAAGCCAGGAATACCAGCTTTCTTCATCTTCAACATTAACAAAATATCTGTGGTATTAGTTTCGTTACATTAAAGGAAAAAGATTGTGGTTTAGGGTTTTTGTAATTTTTTTAAACAGTTTTGGAGCACTCCTCTGAGCATCATGAAAATACCGCTATTAAATTTTGAAAGGCTTCTTTCTTTCTACTCTTTCTTTCCTTTATTCCAAGACCGAAGTCTGAATACTGGATATATCCAGTAATAAATCATGCTCCCCTCGATAAAGTTCAGGATAGAGGAGTCCATGAATCTTAGATGACAAAAATAAATTTTACCATGATGGTGTGATAACTTTGACTGATGCAGATACAGGCAGTCGCTGTGCAGTGACTTGCTTGCAGTGGGTTTGATACTAATTGAAGAGGAATAAATTCTCACCATTTGCACACTGCAAAGTCATGTCTACATCAGATATTATACAGTCATTTCCCTTCACAAGATTTTAGAACTATTCTTAATCCTCTTTGCACAGCTGAAAATGAGTATGTGAAACAGCACAGCGGGTTAAGCAATCACAATGAGCAAGCAGTATGTCAGACTGACCTACTAACAAGCGAATAAAGAATGAGCTACACAAACTGTGCTATCAGATCCCAGCCAAAATCCCCCCCAGTACCCATCTTTCACTCCACTGAAAAACAAAACTGACACAAATTGCTGAAGTACATTTCAGGAGTGGACTTGGCCAAAGTGAGTTTTGCTACAATGCACTTTACTTTGAAGGTAAACTTCAGTATTTCCTGTTGTCACTACTCAAAACCAAAAAGCTTATAACAATATTTTGAGCTTATAATGATTTTTTGACATCATACTATCTCCTTCTTAAGACAGACAATATTGAAAAATATGGATGTGCTTTAGATCTCAAAAGCAGAAGGACACTATACATATTTTTTGTTATGAAAATATAACTCAGTGTTCATCATAGTCCTCCATCTGTCTTCAGGTAGCAAAACAGAAATAGGTTGAATTACACAGGTTTCTGGCATCAGACAAATCTTGCTGAAGTCAGCTTAAGCTGAAGGTAAACTGTATTTGTAAAAATAACTAAAATTCTATTTTTGATGCATAAATATGGATCTAGTAATTTTATTTTAGACACTTTCCTCTCTCCCCTATGATACACTTCAAAGCAAGAAATAACATGGCTTTTTAATGTAACATTTCTGTAACATTTCTGTAATTTTTCAAACAAAGAAATTCAGTGTTGAAAAGCAGTAATACTGTACCTTGATTTCTTCTATTTCGTCTGGCACTATCTTGTATGCAGATATAGTCCCACCCAACCTGAAATCAGGAGAAGAAAAATGTTCTCAAAATCAGTAACAGAAAATACAGTATATTAATAGTGTCACGACTAGTTCCAAAACACAATATTCTTTCTACCAATTAAGAGGTAGAACCCAGTAAATCTCAAATTAAAAGCAAAAAACCCCCTTTCTTTATCGAACAAAAAATCCTTAGGTGATTAACATAAATACTAGAAACAAGGTGTCCATCACCTTCACAATTAAGTCAGCCAAGCAGAATTACCATCATCAGGATGGTATTTTTATATTAACGGCAATCAATCATCATATTCTATGATTTCTTGTTGATTGTCTAAGGCATATGGATGAGTTTAAATATTTGAAGCTCGATGTGCTTTGTGCTGAATATTTCACTGTGCTGCTACATAGTCTGAAATGCATCCAAATACAGTTTTAGAAATGGAATTTTTTTAATTAAATGTGTATGTACAGACATCACAAATCACACAGACTCTATGGTCTTCATGTTTGAAAAATCTCTGCAGTTAATGATTGGTAATAAAAAGTGGATGATGGGCAATAGCTGGCACTGACACAGAAAAAACGGAGGGTTTTGTTCAACATGGAACTCACTGAAATTACTTTTTTAAATCCTGCAAAAATCCTGGTAAAGAATAGTTCACCTACCGAAGATGTATGAATAGCATGTACTATAAATGGTGGTTAATATTACATTTTCCCCAGAGACATGCAGACATGGCTTCTTTTATTTCATGAAGCAATCTCATCGGTAGTGACAATTCAGACCTAAAAATATACGTGCACTAATGACCTCCTGCTGGCTCTACGCAGAAATCCTATTCATTTTCTGGATCCTACAAAAATGGAACTCACATAATAAACTATTTTTTGTAAACATTTCTATACAGATCTATTTCCTTATATCTTGAAATTATTATAAATATTGTTCAGTCTAGTGAAAAAGGGAAGAAGAGAATAACATAGAAAATAAATTAAGATTTTCCACGCAAGTCCTGACTTCCCATATCTCTCTCATAAATGAAGTGCTAGAAGATTTTATGCAGAGGATGAAGTCTGCACAGGAGAAGTCTGAAGTCCATCACTGCTCAAGGTAACAGCAGCTTTATAACTTCCAAATTCATCATGGACAGAGTGTAGCAATTGCTCTCTCCCATTACCTCTGCAACTTCCTTTGCTGCCATTCATTAAGTGAGCCTAAAGTTGGAGAGAACTGAATTCTTTTTTGCCAGTGCAAGTACAAACATGAGCTTTTATTTTTCATGACTTTTGTTCAACTGGTGTTTCTAGGGATAGCTACAAGAAATTGGCTTGAACATCACGACAAAGGATTGCTTCATCAAACCATGACAAGCAATGGCTCAGATGGCACATTAACACTGTGCCTGACCAGTCCTGTGCCTACTGGAGCGAGGTCCATAAGAAAGAAACTTTCATGTACTTTGAGATCCATTCCTGCCTGCACTTTGGAGTACCCCAAAAATCATTGACTTTCTACTATCTAGCAGAAAGAGAATACAGAATCTCTGCTGCCAGCACTCCAGCAATACGGAATTCCACCTGGCAGATATTTTTGTTAGCCACCCTTGGCACAACTATTAAGCACTTTCTTGGAATATAAAAAAAAATTTAAAAAATAAAAAAAATAATTAAAAAAAAAAATTGATTCAGTGAACTCATCTGTCTTGCTTACACCATTAATTAGCATCCCTACACAAATAGTTCTGCCAAGTTTTGTATTAAGAGTTTAACATACTCTGAATCTGCCAAGTTGCAGCTCAATTCGTACCACTCTTAAGTAAAATTTACTTAAAAAGTAAAATTTTTGGAAATTTTTTACAGCTACCATAATTCTGCATTTTTGAAAGAGACATATTAAAAATTATGTTACTGTTAAATAAACAATCTCTCACTGATAGCTCCAGCTCACATGTCTTAACCCATTTACAATCCTGCACTGACATCTTTATCTTAAAAATCCAGTGTACAAACATAAACAATAAGAAATTTGAAGCTGAAAGAGAATCAGAGAACATTAATATACCATTTTATCAATGTCTCAGATTTGAAATGAAGCTTTTAAGGAAGTCTATACTCTCTTCATTTCAGAACATTAGATTTCAGTCAATCTCTGAAAGAGATCCACCACCACAGATTATAGTACCTGATTTAACTGGTGAAGGACAAAAAAAAGACATTTCACTCTGTATATAAAGTTTGGCTAAGTTTCACAGAAGTTTAAAAGCATCCCACACCCTGGGAGGATGCAGCTAACACAGCCACATCACTATTACCAATCTCCAACAGTCAGCTGGAGTCTTCAGTCAAGTCTGAAGTGTGAGGGACTGGACAATACTGCACACACAAGTAACAGCTGTCGTGGTTTTAAAGCAGTAACTAAAAAATTACTTAATTTTTGCTGTGAGATATGGATTAGAACAAGAGCAAAACAGGCTTAAAACTTAAAAGGAATAAAGAAAGTTTATTAACAAAACTACAAGAATAAAAACACCAGAATAAACTTCCAGAATACTCTTTTATCCCCCACTACTTGACCATTCCTTTGTACACGTGACAACATAGAGACAAAAAAAACTTTAGAACTTTGGTGGTTAAAACAGTCTCAATTCCTGCTACAGTCTTTTCATCAGTCTTTGTAGAGAAACAGAAGTCTTCTTTTGCTATCTATGGAGTTTCTCACAAGAAAACTATTTCTGTTATAGTTTTCTATTTCCCTGATGCCAGTTGCCTGGAAATCTGCCATCAGAGTTCACTCCTCCCATTTCACATCACTCTGAGGTGTGTATGGGCCATGAGTCTAGGGATGGCATTTTAAGGATGAGTTATTCAAAGGCAAAAGTTCTCTTCATCTGTCTCTGTGAGCTTCCCTGGAAACAGTTTTCTCATTGCCCTCAAGGCCTCAAATCTTCGCTTCACTCTGTTCCAGCACCTCACTGTATCACAATTACTCTCTCTTTTGCTCAAAATCCACACTTTGAACACTCCATTCCTCCCAATATACTCTGTCATGAATTAAAGGAGTCTTTAAACCACTACTGTCCATCTCCATAGCTTTAACAGAAAGGTATTTTCAGCTTATAAAGCATCTCCTTATTTTCTCCCCATCTAAAACTTAACTCTTTTCTTCACTGTTTTTGGTGGTTTTTTGATATCTTCTTTATGTTGATTGTCTCTGTCTCTCTGGGAAAAAGGAGTAATCTGTACGTTTTACCAGGTAGTAAAAGAATTAAAGCCTTAGAAAAGCTGCAAGAGTTCATGGTGTAAGGTTTCAGTCCAGCAGCAGAAACTGAAAACTAAACCAGGCTGGCCGGCTCTGCTTTCCCCCCCGCCCTCTGCGGCCTTGTCTTGCCTGGAGCGGGGGAGGAGGCCAAGACAGAGCGTCGTTACCTTGACAGAGGCCAGAAACACAAAGAGAACAAGAGAGCTCTGACTGTACATCTTAAGGGGGTGTTCACAAATTGATTTCACTTTTTAATGGTCAAAACTGCCGTCAATTTTTAGAAATGACCGGTAATTGGTCAGGAGGAAAGACTGCCATCAGCCACCAGCAGCTTCAACTTCCCTAGCTCCCAAAACCACCTTAAAGGTAAAGCCACCCCATGACAAGAGCAAAACAAAAACATTGTTATGATTGCTAAGAAAAATCAGCAAAATCAAGGCAAATTGAAAATCAATGCAATAATGGATATGTCCAGACTGAGGAAAACTTTATACTTCAAGTGTTTTTCTGAATTACATTTAAGTGTAACCATCAGTTGTGGCCTGTCTGGAAGCTTGCCTGTCACTGTGCAATTCCCTGATTCGATTCCTGACATCTGAAAGAATAGAGACCAGACATACACAGGAGATTTCAGCTCTAGGATGATAGACAAACTATGACAGAGGGCTTGCACATGGCATATTTTTTCACTTTGTTGTGAAAAACCTCTCTCTGCAGGTTGTTTCCTTTAGAATATTTTACAGTACCATTCTTAATCACAATGTTTCAAGAAGTAACTGCAATCAGAACAGCAAAGGACCAGCTAGCCTGAGTATACATTAACTACAATGGGCTTTGTATGCTAAAATATAATGCAGCAAAGAACATGCTAGAATGGCCAGAATTCAGATCAATAGGGAAACAAATTTTGTGCAGTCACTCTTCATCTTTCACATATTTTACTATTTTACAGATTTTATTATACTGCTCTTCATTTGAACAATTCAGCATCCAGCATCATCTAATAGAAATGGCATTTTCTCTCTGACAATACATACCCAACCTAGAGCAAAGACAAATACACAGCCAGCTACTTCCAGTACACTGAAAAGATGGTTCTTTTGAAAAAGAACTTCTTCTGAAAACTTCAGCCAGAGAAACCTCATGTACAAAGTCTTTCTCTTCCAAACTGCAGTATTTTCATACTATAGCAAGCCACACTATTTAACAATGAAATTATTTTAAATATTACATTTCACTTGTATATGCAAGAGCTAATCTCAAATGTGCCAGAAATTGTATTCAAATTTTGACAGATGTTAGCCTTATCAGCTCTGTATCATACTTTGAATGTAATACAGACTGCCCAATTCTCTAATCTCTTTGCAAAAGAGAAATGAAATTATTCCTAGATATAGAAATAAGAGCTGACACAATAATAATGAAAAACCACATCTTACACTGGGATAAACTGGTGAAAGCCTTTGAGGCAAGGATCAGAAAATATAGAAATTCCATAAAAATAATCAGGAAATAATAAATATAATTATTTTAACAAAGGCTTTAAAACTGATAGAAATGTAGTGTCTTTTTTATCTTTTCAGACTAGGTTCACAAAAGTTCACAAAAAGGATTCAGGAGAACAACAAGGTTTCTATAGCAACCTAAGAAATTAGCAAAATACAGGAAATAAACTGAACTCAGGCCAACACAGTTGTATTGGAACAGATGGATGCTTTACTATTTCACAAATTAAAGCTGATCATGGAAGAGAGAAA